TAGAGAGTCACACAAAAAGTTATTGTTGATTTAGTGGTGATTCTTATGTTCTATGGGTGTTATTTTGGTTTTGAATCCATGGCAGCTCGAAGGTATTTGTATAATGGTGCTTCCAGTGGTGGATGGGCTTCAGAGGGGGAAGGAGTCGTCGGTGGTGGTACTAGGTATGGAGGAGGAAAGTGAAAGAGACAAACATGTGTGGGGATTGAAGAGAGAGAGAGAGAGAGAGAGAGAGAGAGAGAGAGAGAAAGAAAGAGGATACCAGTATGGGTGGGGTGGGTGGGCCCAATTTTTTTTTTAATTTTAAATTATAAAGGTATTAAAGTAAATATAAAAAATATAAAAGAGCATTTTTTTGTTATTTTACAATCATCTAACAACATATGTGAACAAAGTTACTCATAAGGACCATTGGTGTGCAAAATTTTGTGAAAAGAGACCATTAATTAATTAAGAAAAGGTTTCATAAGGACAATATTAGAGACAAATATAAAACCATAAGGATCATTTATGAAATTCCGTCTAAATAAAAAATTAAAATATATTTAGAATATTTAAACGGGTCGGTGGGTTGCAAATATGATGAGAATTTCAACCCTAACCCTACCCATTTAATTAAGCGGGTTAGACGGGTTGACTCGTTTAATTAAGTGAGTTGAAAATATCAAACCAACCTATTAATTACTTACTAGGTTGGGTTTGGTTTTGGGTCAGCGGATTTGGGTTGGTATTTCCATTCGTATTCGTTATATAGCCTTTCAATATTATTGATGTCGTTCTACAAAAAATTGTTTTCTATTTTTCAAAATCAATACATGTCTTTTTAAACAAGATTTAAAAGTGAGTTTTCAAGAAGCAAAAATTTATAAAAGAATCACTACAACTTTAACACTTTATGCAAAAAGGCTGTAGAAATTTTCAATAGATATAATATATAGTAGGGAAAATATAACACTTTTATGAAGTATTGTTTTCAATAATTTAATACTACGTTTACTAAAAAATGTTGCATAGTCATGAAATTAACTTAAAGTTAATAAGAATCATTTTCATCATATGTTATATATCACCCTTCTCGGGTACCCAAAATACATTTAAATATTATCTATTGTGATTCTGCCAATGACGGCTAATACATAAGCATTTGGATGGAAACTAGGCGAAATTAGTGCGATTCCGCCGATCACAGTCGATAACAGTGCATAGCCGTATGAAACTTATATCGGTGATTTTCCCCGTACTAACCATAAGACATCGATATAGTGAACTATACTTTTGATAAAACTATGAATGACCTTACAATATCTAAGAATTGTAGCCTTGAGTTTATAATGGTAAAAAAGAGTTCTTCTCAACCTACCAGAAATAAATTAAGTGTAATCTACGACAGTCACAAGACCCGAACTTAGCGGGGTGCAATACAGAACTTAGGGAATCCAAAATGCACTGAACTTTATAAAGTTCAATGGATTGCCACATCATTTTTCTACAATTCATACAACTCTATTTTTTTCTACAATGTATTAAACTCTATATAAAGTTCACTAGAATATTACAAAATGTAATTATTAGTATATATTTAAGAATTAAAAACTTTCATTTTTTTTCATTGAAAAGTTCAGTGGCCATTGAACTCTAAAACCATAGAATGCCAAACTGACATTGAATGATACATAGACTTGTCACCTTATTTAACTTTCATTGAACTCATCATTGTGAATGCTATTACTCTAGTTAATAAATCTCAATAAAGAGTTATAAATATTTATCAGAAGTTTAATCAATCTAAATGTATCAGATAAAAGACTTTATTTTCTATAAATGTCAACGATACACTTTAATGTTATAACACTCTAAAAAGACGAACATAATCGACTTCCTTTAATAGTTCTATACTAAATGATAGTCCTTTGTAGCAATATGAATTATATTTTTAACAGAACCATTCCAAGAAGACATTGTTGTCATAAATTGTTTATGTCATTAAGATGTCATATGTTAATAGCATAACTACATAATTTTGGATGATTGAAATTGTAGAAGATTTAGTATAAACTAAAAGAAAATGAGTTTATCATTAGTCTTAAGTGACATCATGAAACGTTTATAATAATTCATACTCTATGATTCTATATAACAAGTAAGGTTTTGAGAAATACCAAAAGTCTAGTCGGATGGATTTTGGACTAATTTGATGATAAACACAAGTCTTACTTGGTACCTTATTAGATTTGATGATCGATAAAACTAAATGTTGTGTTTTAACTACTTGTGAATAAAGTTAATAAGGAAACTACTGCGAGTAGCATAGATTAAAAGGGAAAATGACTTGCGAGGGTAATTACATTTTCGTCTTGTTCATGTTTGGGTAACTTCATTTTTTTGTACACATTTGACCATTTAACTTATTAAATCTGTTCACATATTATCATTGTCACCTGCTATAACAGGTGACAATGGTAATATATGAACACATTTAACAAATTAAATGGTTAAATGTATACGAAAAAAAGAAAGTTGTCTAAATGTGAACAATTTTTTTTTTTATAAATTCCTTATAAATTTTTATAATTTCTTAAAACATTTTTATAATATTTTTTTCCTATAGTTTTTCTAATACAATGTTTTAAACTTTTTTACACTTCCATATAATTTTAATACAAGTGCTTTTAAACAAATATTTTATAAATGTTTTAAAATTTTCTTACAAGTTTTTAACTTGTTTTTTATATTTTCATACAATTTTTTTATAACTTTCATACGTACATTTCTAAACTTTCTTTTACAACATTTTTAAAGTGTTTAACAGATTGTGTATGACAATTTAATATTTTTTGATAACATTTTAAAATATTTTCAGTAAATACTAGTTTAAAACGTTGTATTAAAAAAATTAAAAGTTTATAAACTCTAATTAAAAAATATTAAAAAGTTGGAATAATTTTAAAACATTTACATTATATGAATTTTTTTTGTTTTTTATTTGCTAAGTAATATTTTCTTTTTATTTTTTTAAAAGATCCACCATATTTTTTGTTACATATTTAATTTATTTAATTTTATTGTTAGGTACTATTTACTTTAAAAATATTGTATATGCTTAAAAACAAAAGAAAAAAAATATAAGAGGCTATATATATAAAATATTTCACAAAACAAAAACATATTTATTAATTAAAAAGTAAAGTTTAAAATTGCACAATATTTAATTAATATTTAGGAAATTATGGATATTTTAAAAATAACGTTTGAAAAAAATAATACAAACAAATATGAAAAATAAAATCACTATTAAAAGTGAGGAAAATGACATAACAAAGTACTTAACTTTTTGTTTTGTTCATATTTAGACAATTTTCTTTTTTTATACATATTTAATCATTAACTAGTTAATTTGTTCACATATTACCATTATCACATGTTATAACCAGTAATAATGACAATATATAAACACATAATTAATTAAATAGTCAAATGTGTATAAAAATAAAGAAGTTATCTATATTTGAACAAAACTACAAAGATGATTATATTGGTAAGTCATTTTTCCTAGATTAAAGATACCTTTAAGTACGTCCTCAGAAATATGTAAAACCTAAAGAAAGCTCTAATGGTTATGCAAATGAAGGATCTATAATACACTAGGAAATCATAGGCTAAAACTTATGGAATGTCCATCAAGTTTAAATTGTGATGCCCAACGTTAGGAATTATTTTTCATTATGGTTTGACTAGGTTACAAAAAAACGTAATGTCCCAAACATATGAAAGAACAAAAAATTGTCCATTGGATTGACGTTTTGGATGACAATAAATTCATCCAACATCCTCTTAGAATATGTGTATTGGATGAAAATTATAGAATCCATAATTCCATATTAGCATAGTCGTTAAAAGGTTGAATAGAGCCCTTATTGGCAGTGGATGAAAATGTTACATCTATTGCCATAGGATCTCATAAACACAATTTGCTTGAGAAACTCTCAGAATTTTCTAACTGGACTAAAAATTGTTTCATTAATTCATAGCATATATCTAACACGTGAATGATGACATCAGATTATCTAAACAGGATTTTATAATTCAACTCTTTCATTTTTGGTAAGGCAATACAAATATCAAATATAAATCCTGGACTCTATTTAGATGGACTTTTGGCTTTATTCGATTTGGAATCCTATGATACATGTGAGTCATATTTACTTGGAAAATGGCAAAACAACCATTTAATAAAAAAGTTAATAAAATTAATTTGATGCACCAATTAGTCAAATAATGTATTGATACGTGTACAGCGACCATTTAACACATAAGCTAGATTTGGATGAGTACGTTTTGTCACTTTTACTTATAGCTTCGGCGGATCTCTAACTATGTTGAGACATAACTATGAAACTATATTGAAGATGTCAAGTAGCTTCAGACTTGGAATAAGTTCAAAAAACTTTTGAAACTTTCAAGTAGTTTTAAATTATTAAATATGTATGGTAAGATGAGTATGAGTATGAGTCTAGCATATCTATAAATATTCAATCTTTATGAAAGTTTTTTCATAATTATCTATGCTATCATTATAGAAGTTGCTTCAAAACTGACTTTACTAAAGATTTTTATAATAGCTAGTATGATACACTTAGTAGGTTACAACTAAAACAATGTAAAGAATCATATATGATGTGAATTGGAAAGAGCTCTACTGCATTATTATATCTTAGCTGAAGGATTAATTCAAATGTGTTACTGTAAAATATTTTTCAATGATGTTTTAATAATATGCATGATAGTTAGTTCGAATTAATTATATAATTTGTTTTCTTACAATGGTTTAATAATATAATTCGTGAATAAAATTATTAAAAAGCTAATAATTATAAGAGTATTCATTAAATCTTTATAAATTAAAAAATAATTTATATAAAAAACTACACAATTGTAACATAAATACGATGTATTGATGTTATTAGTGGCTTCTAAATTTGATATTTAAGTACAAAACTAAAATGGTGTTTGACAACGTCTTTTATTTCTCTTCAGGGGGTGATTTAGATGAGCTTATAAAAAGTGTGCCAGGAACTGAACATATTATACGGAGACGAGATCTTGCAAGCTTTTGTCGTAGCGATGACTTGTCTGAACCCATTATTGATCTCCTCTTGAATGAAGCTCGAACTGTTCCTCAAGCTCAAGGTTTCATACTCAACACGTTCGAAGAGTTGGATTCACTCATACTACCACACATGCGAAAACTTTGTCCAAATATTTATCCCATAGGCCCATTGCACTCTCTCCACAAAGCTCGCCTTAGGGAGAAGACGACATTGATGTCCCCGAAAACAACTTTTTCGAACAGTGTCTGGAAGGAAGATAGAACTTGCGTATCGTGGCTCGATAAACACGCTCCAAAAACCGTTCTTTACGTCAGCATTGGAAGTCTAGCCACCATTACAGTAAATCAACTGCTAGAAATATGGCATGGTGTGGTAAACAGTGGGAAACCTTTTTTATGGGTGAGACGCCCAGGGTCAATCACAGGTGGGTATGAAGACTCTCAGATCCCGACTGAATTGCTTGAGCATACAAAAGAAATTGGGTGTATCATAGATTGGTCGCCACAAGAACATGTCCTCGGTCACCGTGCTGTTGGTGCATTTTTAACACATAGTGGGTGGAACTCGACTATTGAGAGTATAGCCGAGGGGGTTCCCATGATTTGTTGGCCTTACTTTTCCGACCAACAAGTGAATAGTCGATTTGTGGGAGAAGTATGGAAGCTTGGAATAGACATCAAAGATACTTGTGATCGATTAATTATTGAAAAGGCAGTGAAGGATGTCATGAAAACGGGAGGAAACATGTTTAGACCGTGTGTTGACGGTTGGAAAATTTTGGCGAAAGAGTCGGTAACTGAGATGGGGTCGTCGTCTATGAACTTTGATCGTTTGATCAATGATATAAGGGTAATGAGTTCGGCCACAAAGTTATCAGGTTGATGTGTATCGTTGGATCATATGATATTGATACAAGTCTTTATTTGACATCTTTTGCTATCAAATTGAAATAATAATGTAAAATTGACTTTCAATTA